TGAACCCCCCAAAAGCTAAGACCTGCCTTAGAGGAAGGCGAAGAGACTTAGAGGAAGTCACAAGACTGTGACTCTGCTACCACAGGGCCCATGGGAGATGGGGCAGGTGCTGCTTCCCCGGGAGCCTCCGTGCGCTCGCCTGTGAAATGGAGCTGGCTGTTGCCACCCACGATGGGGGAGGAACATGAGGGCGAGGCAAACACTGAGCCCTGGGAACTTTCCTAATTCTTCTTAGTGATGACGGGTCTCACCCTGGTTGTACAGCTGGGGGAACGAAGCATGGGGTATTAAGTCTGGGGGAAGGGGTACTATGTGCCGGTGGGCTGAAAGTCGTGGCTCTGGCACCTGTTGGTCTTCCAGATGTGCAATGTGTCTGGGTCCGAGATGCCCCTCTTCTCAGCCTGCTCCTCTAGGAAGTCAAAGAAGTACTTGACGGCCAGTGGAGGCTTGTCCTCGCGGATGCTCAGAATGGCCTTGAACAGGTCGTCCAGGAACTTCTGCAGTGTACCCTGCGGGGGAAGCTGCTGTCAGCCCGGTTGCTCGTGGGGGCGAGTAGGCACCTACGGCAGCTCCTGGGAGCCCTTGGTACTTGGATGGGGAATGGAGAAGCTCTGTGCCATTGGGCTAGTCATGGGGCCACGCTGGCTTGCTTTCTCATTGTGAAAAGGATTTGTGAAGCCCACCTTGCAGGGGTGTTGAGAGGACTCAGGACATGGGATGGAGCTGGGATGTGGGTCCTGGGGTGCTGCCGGTGCTGCCCTTGAGTTGAGGGACCCTGGGGTATCACTGCATGCTACTGGGCCTCAACCCCCTCTATTAAGGGCGAGTACGGCTATCTCTCCTGCATCTCTTACTGCTTCGAGCAAGTTCAAAGCAGCCCCCTGTAGGCAGAACCCCAAACTCTTAGCATCTTGCCAGGAGTCCACTGGGCCCCACAGAGGCACCAGGAAGGACCTGGGCCCCCTGCAAGCATGGGCACATAGTTGACCTGGTGGAGGGTGGAAGGTGAGCCCCTCCCCTCCCCACAGAGCCCACGGAGGGGACTGGGGTGGGGCCCACCTTGGTGGACAGCAGGCGGGTCAGGTAGATCTCGGGCAGCACCTTCTTGCGGTGGCTCTGGCGATTCGACTTCCTGGGCTCAGCCAGCTCGTCCGTGGGCAGCACCTGGGGCCAAGCAGTGCTCAGTCCCGGGCTGTCCCGTGGCCCCTGGCTCTGCTAGGTGGGGTGGGGCGGGGCACCCTCTGACTCCGGTCCCAGTCCTATCTCCACCCAGGTTCTTCTAGGCCTGGGAGTACTTGTCTCAGAGGCCCGGGGTGGCAGGAGGCCGGCCACACCCAGGAGAGGGGCTGGCTCCCCGGGGCCATGGCCAGGCACTCACCAAATGGAAATACTTCTCTGTGTCCAAGTCTTTCACTGCAAGAGGAAACACACGCACAATAAATAAACAAGCGAGCAGGGGGAGAGGCCCACTCAGAGTGGGGGG